AACTCAAACACATAAGACAGTGCCATCTCAACATATAACTAATTAAAGAAAAACTATTAAAAAATCTTTTCGGAAAGTTACAGGTGGCCGCTGGTGATCTTATTTGAAACTGTTCAAGCGTTGTTTGACCGTAGTTTTGCATCGGCAGCGGTTAATTCTTGTCTAGCCACAGATGAATATTATCTGGTAATAAAGTTTCAGTTTTGAAAAACAAATAGGGCAACAGGTTAAGCATTTTCGTCGTAAAAATACACACCAAAGATTTTATTCCTAATAACTGAATCATTATTGTACAAAATATAGAAACTTCACCCCATTCTTGGCTTCTACAGGATGCTCATCATCTATGTGGCAACAGAGTCCCACGATGTCGAAATATTCTGAACAAAAAGGACACGGATATTCCTCCCTTATATCATCATCCATGTCGATTTCCTCAAACCCCATGAGCATTTCCACATCAATACTATCCCATCTCGTTCCTACAAAATCACGAAACACGAGTAAGAAAATCACTGTTCGAACACATCATTCCAAACATAAATTCAAAGGTCAATATTGCATTACACACAAGATTACAATTTGCCATCAGCTGTCAAGTGTAGTTAGCTCCAAAAACAATTCATATAATTTTATTCAACATATCCCACGCCTAAATACACATTCACACCAAACCTGCAAAACCCAAAACTCAAAAAGCTGATACGATATTTCAAGTAAAGTTACAAAAAACAACAAATTCAACAAACCCTTGGAGACAACATGACTTACAGCCATCCTTCGCGTAAAGCCCATTACAAAAATGGAATCTTTAACGAATACTTAAATCGACTCAAACCAATATAAGAAATCCAGCTGAAAAATCATTATTCTTGAAGAAAAAAATAGGATGAGCCGTTTACCAGATCGAGATTGTAGCGCAGATTGGTAGCGCTTGGAGGCGGAGGACAAACGAGCAGCCCAGGAATTAGCATCCATGGCTTTAGCTTTGGTCTTTCTTTTGTTTATTATAAATCTTACAATTTAAACAAAGAACAGAAAAGGGTTTGTGAATCTGAGCTCTTTTCTTGCAAGGAGCTGATGAAAACTAATTAATGAGCCTGATAGAATGATTTCGTTTTCAGACACAACCTTTCTTGATTTGGCAGAATTTTGTGAGGAGTAAAATGAGATTGGGTAGTGGGGCAGATTGAGAGAGAAAGGGAAAATGAGAAGAGGGGTTTCTTGGCTTTTGCACGGTGAAAATGAAAATCCACCAAAATCCGAAGGGGGGCAGAACGTTCTCTTCCACACCTTTTATTTTTGTTTTCTTTTTTCTTCTTCTTTTTTTTTTTACTTTCTTTTCCTTGGATTTTATGTTTTCAGACAGCTTGAGTGCTTGACTTGCTGAGTTTGTCTTAATTTACTTTAGTGCCAGATCTAAAGATCAGATTTTGAGCAAATTTTAGGGCGGTGAACTGAACTCAATTCACAGATCAGATTTTGAGCAAATTTTAGGGCGGTGAACTGAACTCAATTCACTAGCACGTAGCCCGTGCGCGATGCACGGTACATAAGTATTAATGAGTTATTTCCACAGAACTTATCCGTTAAGTAGCTCGTACGATTCACGGGAGACATTAAATGAGTGGACCATAGGGCTTGTCCGTTCAGACCTAAAAAATAATAGAGTTTGATCATATATCTTTTTGCATCTTTTCATCAACATCATTTTTTTTTGTCGGAACAGTAAACCTGAGTCTGGTAGCGCTAGCCCGTAAATTAATAAATATATTATCTCGCTCACATGTTTATAATAATATAAATTTGATTTCACTATATATTTATTCATTGATATAAGAAAAATAACAATTTTACGTAATCTTGTTCCTCGTATAATACTTATATTATTTCATTATAAAATTTATTGTAGTATAATGTCATTATTATTATAAGTTATAGATGTAGTCTTCTTCTTCTTTTTGTTTTATGTAATTAAAATATTTAATGTATGTTCATCTTATTTATTAATGTAATTAATTTAAATTATGTAAATAAATTTAAAGTAAAACATTTTGTACAAACATTTTACAAAATATACACAAATGTTTTTTTAGAATTTAATTTTTTTACAATAAATAACAACTTTGAAATTCTATGCAATTATTAAAACCGATTAAATCCGCTTTATTAAAATCGATTAAATCTTTATTTATAAGCTTGACATTAAAACCGATTTTATGAGATTTTTTTAACTAAACCGATGTTATGGAATAAAACAAATCTATACTTACATTTGACTTTTCCAGCAAAGGTAAAAAAATCTGTTCTGATTTTTATCCCATAACAAATCTTTAATGTCAAACTATAAATACCAAAACAAATCTTTAATTAATGTCATTCTATTTCCAGCAAACATTAATTACCTTTTAATGACATCAAAATATTGCTTTTGATCTTTTTTTTTTTTAATAAAAAATCAATTAACCATTTACGATTGTTAATTTACAAAATATAATGGAGTCATAATTTTTTGAATTTTGACCCTAATTAATTATTTATGCTACAAATAGCAAATTAATTATCATACACGTGAAAAAACTAATATACACATTCCATTAATAAATATTAAGAATATTAGATCAATAATGACGATAAAAATAGAAATATATAAATAATTTCAATTATTATGAGCATTAAATAACAGTTCAAGACACATAAGGAAACTGATAATAGTAATACCAATCCATATTGAACTGTATTTCCTATACTGTCTCAACGTGGAAAAAACTCAAGCAATAAAAAAAAAATGCCACATCACATACCAAAATTTGGTAGTTTTCCTCGAAAAAATATATGAGATTTCATCCCGAAAATCACGCGTCTCCTTCCTCAAAACTCTGGCCAAGGAGTGTGCAAAACCTTCCCAAAAATTCAGCCGAAAAAATCGAGCAGCACCCTTGAGTCACGTCGTTTTCTCTCGCGTAGCCGTGCTCAACCACGGGGCATGGAGTTCCGGTAGTAACTATTATTAGACTTACCTGCTCGGAAAATGATTAAAAATGAAACGGTACCTTAGTTCTTTATCCTCTGAAAAACAGATAACTTGCCGAACATAAATCCAAAAAAATTATTAACTTCCAAAAGAAAAATTAACGTCTCCCTATCCATGCTTGACCGGAAAATCTCCCCCAACTCGCCACCAACCATTGGAGCTCTCAGCCACCCGTGAGGAGTTTATCTATGGCATGAGATTGTTTCCAAAAAATATGCTGATTGTGTTCTTTAATTTATTGAATTAATTTTGTTTTGAAAATTTTCAAAATATGTTTTAAACAAATTGCATGGGTTGGTGTATTTAAAATTTAAATTATTGAATTAATTTTTGTTTTGAAAATTTTCAAAAAAATGTTTTAAACAAATCTGTTCCAAACAAATAGGGGATATTGAACAAAAAAGGAGGTGAAATTTGATTTAATTCGGTTGGTGTATGCATGACTTTATCCGGTTTTTAGCAAATCACATCCAAAAAAAATAGGAAGTGAAAAACAGATTTAAGCAGAATCTGAAAAAATTTCAAACACAACATTAGAGGGAAAAACAGGTTTTAAGCGGTAAAATGAAATATTTTTTCAAATAATTTTTTTTCTCCGTATTATATATTAATAGATTACATTACTATATCATTTGCCACATCAAAAGACATTATTCAAATAGAACAACAAATTAAATCTCGGGTCGGCTATATAGATCATGTCATAATCGTGCTCGATCAAAGCACATATCTTCATTCAAATTTAAATAATTTAAATTATTTTTATTCTTTTCTTTCAAATTTTCTTAGGTCTATCATTTCTCCATGTAATTTACGTTCTTAATTCTAATGTTTCTACCATTCTCATTGGGGCCTCGAAATTTGCATTCTTAATTCTAATGTTTCTACCATTCTAACTGGGGTCTTCGAAGTCTCTCTTACGCACATGCCCATACCATCTTAATCTGGGGTCTTCGAAGTCTCTCTTACGCACATGCCCATACCATCTTAATCGTGATTCTCTCATTTTCTCCTCTATGGGCGCTATCCCAACTTTATTTGTAATACTTTCATTCTAAACTTATCTAACCTAATATGCTCACACATTCATCTCAACATTATCATCTCATTTTTTGATCATTTTCATATTTAGTAGCTCAACACTTGGATCCATATAACATCGTCGGTCGAATAGCCGTTTAATAGAACTTGCCTTTTAAACTCACTAGTACTTTACGATCACAAAATGTCGACGACGCGCTACTCCACTTGTTCCATCCTGATTGAATTCTATGTGTTACATCCTTATCTATGTTGTCATTATCTTCTAAAATGGGTCCTAAATATAAAATTTTTAAATGTGTTTAATTTGTGTTCTCCACGGGTTTGCCATTTTTCATTTTTTGCATTGCTTTCTCTACTTCTTTGGTTTAAATTTTTCTATAATATGTGAAATTTTATATTTCTCACTTTCCTCTAATTTTCATAGCGATATTTTCTAACTATCTACTTCATTAAATACTTTATGGAAATAATCTTTCCACTAATCCTTTATTATTTTATCATCGACTAATACCTTTCTATTTTCATCTTTTATGCATTTAATTTTCGTTGCGCATTTAGACTCTCTTTTGAGCCCTTCGGCTGAGTTGTCGGTGTTCATGTTGTTTGTGGCGGCTCCCCCCTCCTCCGACGTGGTAGGTTTACGGAGTCCATATCTGAATCGAGAATCGAGTCGTCATCATCTGCGTTTAGGCGCCGCAGTTTTCGGGTTTGAGGTTTCGATTTGTTCCTTTGTTGTATCTTTGTGCTACAAGGACAGGCTCGTGTGTCGGCTCGTGTAGTTGTGCATTATGTCTATAAGGTGTGTTAGGTGTATGTGAGGTCTTAGTTTATTTGTACGTTAGACATGCGTCTTTTTTTTTTTGTTAATCCAGCTTCGTATGACTTTAATCTCCTTTATGTAGTTGAAGTCTCCTTTATGGCGTTTTGTATTTGTGTTTGCAGTTATCTCCTTGATGGAATTGTACTCTTGAAATTGATATAAGATACCATACCTAAAGGAATAAACCAGTCGACTAGGCTGAGCGAGTCGCTTGGTCGAGCAGAACCATAGCAGGGTCGGAGGTAGTCGAACACCACCAATTCAGGATAAAGTGCCTTCGATCTGGAAGACAGCATAAAGGGTACATGGCAACAGGTCGAACTAGGGTCCTCGGATGGCCTAGTAGAAACTCGACCTGTAGGCAAGACTGGTCGTGCGATCGACCTGAAAGAATAGCACTCGGACTTGAGACAGTTAGCGCTCTACCTGAATCGACCTACAGTTGGTCGTACAATTAAGTGATTTAATACAAAAGACTAAGAGACAAAAATGAATTTTAGGGGAACTAAACCCCCACATGAGTAAAACCACGTGGCATTACTTGATTGATTCACGCTTCATAACCGTTTCTGACACACTGTGTAGTGTGGGTTGTACGATCGGGCAGCCAGCTCACCACATCCGACAGTCTTCTAGAAACAGGTACTTCACCACTATAAATAGGAGTGAGATATTCGATTTCATTCATTACGTTCATTATAATATACATTACTGTAATTCATCTTTTACACATATTCATTTAAGAATCGGAAGCTCTTCATGGGAAAACTCCTCCGGTGTGAGAGCTTTTGCAAGTTCAAGGATATTTAACCGGCGAGAAAACTCTTGAGCAGACCGATTTCAGCTGGTCAGAGTCTTTGTATACTAGAATTCATATGTAGTACCAATGGCCCAAGTTTAGATTTTCTCATTATTTGGTGGCCGCTGATACATATACTTTTTGAGTTTTTTTAATTTTTGAGTTTTTTAATATTAAAGTGTTTGAGTTTCAAAAAAAAAAATATATATTTATATATATATATATTTATATATCTCAACGCCATTAAAAGTGGGTCCCTTATGAACCGGCTTCCTTTTCATTTTTTTTCCTTCTTTCTGCTGTAACTTCCCGTACAGAAATTCACCACCAAAAATATCAGCCCGAAGTTCAGCCCGGCCCTTTTCCCGTTGTCCTGATCACATTTTCCGCTTCGTTTGAAACCCAGCAGACCTATTGAATCAGTCCCCATTTCATCACTCATGGATCTAATTTAAAATTAAACCCCTTTCCTAGTTTGATTTTTATACTTCTTGTAGATTCTGTAGAAATCTTTTTGATCCATTTACTGATGGCGACGAGGAACAGGACGATTTTGTATAGAAGGTATAGAGATGCTTTGAAGAGCGTCAGGGTTCCAGCGGGCTCGTCGCCATCGAGCTCCGGCGGCGGCGGAGGTCCCGTGATCGAGCTGTCGACTTCTTCTTTGCTTAACCCTAACAGATCCTACGCCCCTCTAAGTACTGAAGATCCTGGATGTTCCAGGTATTTTGATTCAAAATGCTTGTTTGGTTGAAAAAGTGAAATTGTCTGATGAATAACTTTACCTTTTCCATTATTGATTTAGCTCTTGTGCATCTTGATGTTGATAAATTGGCACCATTGATGAGTCCCGGAATCGGGTGAGATTGATTTGTCTAAGTGGAGAAATTTTCTACAATTATGTACAGCAGACATGCTTTAGTTCTATCAAAATGATGAAGTTTAGTTTTGAGGGCTCTCTTGAGCGGGGAAAAATATATTTGTTAGAAAGCAACGTTATTCGAACCTTCAAAGCCTAGCATAACATTTCCTTACAAGTTCCAGGTATAGTAATCCACAGAGAAGGGAAAAGCTGAATGTATATTTTTTTGTTCTTCTGGTGAATTTTAGTATGTTCCATGACTTGCTCAAATTGTTGGACTTGGCACGTATTTATTGGGTAAAGAATTCCTGGAGCAGTGCGGACTTCATCAAAGTGGCATGAACTGCAGAATGCTGAGAATTCTCAGTTTCTCACCTAATTGTTTAAAAAAAAATATTTTATAGCATATGCTTAATCTATATTATGATCTGACTTGGATATCAATTGTCATAGATGGTGTAGTCCACATCTGGATGTGACTTTCATTGTTCCTCAAGTTTCATTCTTCCTTAGAGGTATGTTTCCATATGTATGAGAAAGATAATGAAATTGATAGGGCTGTAATAGTAAGACTGTAATATTCTTGGGATCAATTAGCTTTCCAAGATAATCAGGTTATGATGCCTATAGGTGAATAAAAATGGTAAATTTTTGTGTAGCTCAAAGTGGGAAATGGGTACTCTGACTCTCTATGTTTTGGGATGTTTGAGATTAAGTTTCAGTTGAATCCATGAGGACTGTCTGAGAATGTTTGTTTTGGTGCTGGGGTAAAGCTGCATATAGGTTTGATTACGGTCTCTTTTACAAACAAAGTAATAGGTAGATGTTTCAAATTTGTGATGTGAGCTTGTCTGCGAGAGCATATGGATTCTTTATGCATATTTATGAACTCTGTATAATTAAGTTCATGTATTTCCTATACTTATGCAGTCACATGGAAGAGCAGCTAAGGCAGAAAATGTGCATCTTTCATGATTACATGTACCAAATTGAGTATACATAATATGTTACATTGATTGAACAAACTAATGGTCCTAAGTTATTGACTGAATGTCTTAACTTCCTTATCTGAAAGAGTCTTGGACTCTTTTGGATTAGGTAATTATCAATATTGAAGGAAAAGTTGCAGCAATACCCTTAAAATGAAACTATTATATTAAGAGATTCAATGGAGAACTCCATTTCCATGATTTCAGATGTGAGAAACTCCAAATAAGAAAATCAAATTCACATCTCACACAGATAAGAAATATGCCAGTAAAACAGATATTAGTTTTATAACTATCATCCATATGGATTTTTGCTGTTGGCTTTCAGTTTTGTATTTGTTGTTGTTTTTCCTACGAAGGTGGTGTTGTTTGGCCACTAAACATTTCTATGACATCCAGAACCCTGTAAAATCTGATAAATTGTTATGTAAAACTATAGAGGAAAATAGCGCATATGCTAGGTTATTGTGAAGCCATAAATTTTTGTACTTTTGTTTTTTTTTTTCTTCTTTTATCCTTTTCAAAGCAATGGGAACCTATATTTTTTAAGAAAAATATGATTTGTTTAAGAACTGTAGTTACCATCAATATTTAACGACAAAATCTCGATTAAGCTATTCTTGTGCCGCATGCACATAGTTGGAACTGAAATTGTAAGGGCATGCTTGTTTATGAATTATTTCACTCACATTCAATTCATACTCAAAATCTAATTCAACTTTAACTCAATCCCACTATCTTTAATATTATTCATATAATTAAATAATACAATCCAATCATTCTTACACATTACATCAACTTTAATTCACTATTCATCCACTCACATCATTTTAACTACCTATCATTTCCAATCATTTATTTCCTTTTCAAAATTAACTATGGTTAACCAAAATATCTCATTTTAGACGGATTATTTTGTAAACAAGCGATCCCTAAGTTTTTTACATTCTAAGATATGGATACATTAACGTGAAAACAATCAAAAACAATGTTTCTTGTAGTAGATTAGCTCTAGTTAGCGACTTTGTTGGGAAAATGAACAAAAAGCACAGTTTATAATTATAAGGTAATACTTTGTATTGACTTGATGACTGCTATTGAAGTAATACTTTGTATTGACATGATGACTGTATTGAAGACCAAGATGAAAGTGAAATCATTTGTGAGATTTGCGAAGAGTATGAACCATAAACATGTTCTTGTTCTGGTAAGCCTGTGAAACATTTGTTAACAGTTATCCTTGCCTATCTTAGAATGTGAGCTGGAAGTTGATAATATATACTCTCCTGGTTTGAAGAGTATCAACAGTAATGAACCTATATCCCTGAAAATGCTTCCGTGGGTCTGGGTACTCCCATATTCACATGTTATAGATACAACTAACACAAGGGTATGATATGTATCAGATGCACTTATGAAGTGGTTGGTGCTTTGTAGGAGAGAGAGGTTCTAATAATATTTTTATCTGAAAAAAATGGATCTGGATGAAAAATGCTAGATAGAAATCAATCATTGTTCTGATTCATATGAAACATTCTTTATATTTCTCTTCTTTGGTAATTGATTCGTCATTTCCATAGTGCTGAGGAGTCTGTTCAAAATGCTATTGTTCACAAAAGCAGCAGCGCAGTATTAGTTAATGATACATTTCCTAGGATCCTAATCCAGCTATGGCCATCAGAAATGTATACCACGTGTTGACTTTACCATTTACTCCAACGAACAAATTAAAACACTGCTAGAAACCTGTATACAAATAGAAAAAGATGTAGAAATTTGTCAAAACATTCCTCTCCTAATAATTGCTGTCTTTTCTTGTTGCAGTAGGGGTACAGCTGCAGTAGGTTTACCACCAGCTTGGGTGGATTTATCTGAAGAAATAGCAGCTAACGTACAGCGTGCAAGGGGAAAGATGACTGAGTTGGCAAAGGCCCATGCTAAGGCTTTGATGCCTTCATTTGGAGATGGTAAAGAAGATCAACGCCAGATTGAGGCACTAACTCAAGAGATAACTGATCTGTTAAGAAAATCAGAGAAGAGATTGCAAAGACTCTCTGCAGCTGGGCCCTCCGAGGATTCTAATATTAGGAAAAATGTCCAGGTATGACCTGATAATCTCTGCTTCCTGAACTATACATGATTGCCAATGAGTAGTTATGGTAATCTTTTGTTTCATGTCTTGTATGGGACTATAATTAATTGCATTACTCATGTACTCAAACCTGACCTTTTTTCTTCTAAATGTATATATTTTCTGCTAAAACAGAGAAGCTGGTTATTGTTTGGTGAATTTACATTTGCTATGTAATGAGGAACTTTTTTGACTTATTCTGTATCCTTGATGTGAATGCGGACATCTTGTTTCTGAAATTGAAGAGAATATGATGTAACACTGAATGTAACATGTGTCACCTTGCAATATTAGCAGTTTCGTCCTTTTTCTGCCAGAAAATTATTGTGAACTTAAAAGTTTGTATTTTACAATGAAATTTTGTTTTGAGAGATAATGTATTCCTTTGACAGAGATCGTTAGCTACCGACCTTCAGACCTTATCCCTGGAGTTGCGTAGGAAACAATCCACATATTTGAAACGGCTTCAGCAGCAAAAAGAGGTACGATAATAATAATACCCTTTCTGCACTTTGTTTAATTATTTATGTGCCAGGATATCTTGATATCAACTTATATTTTGGAAATGTAAATTTCTTATCCAAATAACAAGAAGTATTTCTATTAAAATTTCACCTTCTGAACTACCTAAAGCTGCCATCTTAGTGAATGGGCAGCTGCTAGCAGCATTGTATTACAGTCATTATTATATTATTCCAAGTTCTTAAAATTGTGTCGTTTTTTAAGGGTTCTGATGGTGTGGACTTGGAAATGAACTTAAATGGGAGCAATTCTAGAAGGGATGAGGATGATTTGGATGACATGGTAAGTGGATTGAGCTTCATTTGTGTTTGATAGATATTTTATACTCTTTAATTTGCTTGCTCGGTGCACTGGGGCAGTGGAAAAAACAATGTGCACATTTATGTGATGGCATGTTGTAACCCAGACCCTCCCTTAGATGTGTTTTTCGGTAGTGATGCATCCACACATTCAAAAATTGATGTAATGTCAACCAATGTCTCTAGCAAACTGCGTAGGACACCTTACACTTGGCGCAAGTTGCCGTAAGGAGCCACCACTAAATAAATCTAACTTTAGTCTTTTCACAAAATTTAACATACTAGATTTACATAATATGTTCTTTAAGTTGGTTCACCATTATCCTGATCTAGTTACTACAATGAAAGTTCGCTTTAATCTCTCTTGAACTTAGTAACATGGAATACATAAAACCTCAGTGTGAGGATATGGAGAGCTGGTCTCTGGGATAGACCATATAAGAATAGGGTCTTAAAATTATGTCAGCTTTTAGATATATCACTAGCATAGAAGCTCAGAACTTTCGGTAGGTGCTCAATTTTTTTCTATTAAAATTATTTGTTTGAGATACAACCTTGTTGTTAATGCTATGGATGCATCATGTCAGCTTGAATGTGTTGCAATTACTTTGCATAGGGATTCAGTGAGCATCAAATGACTAAACTAAAGAAAAGCGAGGCATTCACAGCTGAAAGGGAGCGGGAAATTCAGCAGGTTCTTTGAAGTTATAGTTGTTTCTGTATTATGCGAAATGCGTAGATTTTTAATTGGCAATTTATTGGGTCCTAGGTGGTGGAATCCGTCAATGAACTCGCCCAAATTATGAAGGATTTATCGGTTTTGGTGATCGATCAGGTTGGATGGTATATCCCACTTGCAATAGTTCCTCTAGTGATAAAAATTTTATGTTAATTTCGTCTTCTCCATGCAGGGTACTATTGTCGACAGAATCGATCACAATATAACAAATGTTGCAGCCTCAGTTGAAGATGGGTTGAAACAGCTGGAGAAGGTGCATTCTTCAATTTTACCTCTCTTCTGTTAACTTTTTCTTCCTTGTGAAAACTATGTACTTTGTGAATTCAGTTGATTATATGTTGAAAACAACTGGAATTGCAGGCAGATAAAAGTCAAAAACAAGGTGGGATGGTTATGTGCGCTACTATTCTCGTTATCATGTGCTTTGTTATGCTTGTTCTCTTAATTTTGAAGACGATTCTATTTTAAGCACCAAGCACAACATCCTCCAGGAAATTTTGAGTACACATACTCTCAGGGCAGACTTACAATTTATCATAGACCATGAGTGAGCTCCCCAGTTTTCCCCCAGCTATAGACGTTATCTGATACACCATTCTTGAGAACTCAAGCTTTTTCCTTATTTCGCCCTCTTTCATATATTTTTTTATCCCTTTTATGTTATAAACATGTCTCAATGCAATCATATATAGACTTGCTTTTGAGACTCTTGTATAGTGTGGAAGAGGATGTGATATTGATTCAATTT